AAATAATATACATATTACTAGTGTGTACACCACCTGTCGTTCCAGACTTTTTTAAGAAACTTGTCGCAGGAGATAACCCCCCTGGAAACGAAGATAATGCCCCCAATACAACAGAGGAACTTCTCGGAGTTAAATGAGGATGCATCTCTGAGAGGAAGAAACTCAGATAAAAATGTAAGTTCCACCCATTCTGAATCCGATGATGGCGTGTTATCTGGGTTTGATGAAATGGAATTAGGTGACTAATTTATGAAACGGGTCCTCAACTTAGGTTGAAAAACAAAGCAGAGGAAAATCTCTAACCCGAAGGGGAAATCCTATTTCTGCATAGGGCGCGCCAAGGGATAATAGAACATAGGAAGCGAACAATTTGCGGATACCTGGTTCTAAATATTCCAGAGTGAAGTGTCAGATACGGCAGTGCCAATGTGCCACTATGCAAATCGTGTATTCAACTGTACTTCTCCCTATATAATCCTCTCAAGCACAACATTCCTTGCCCCTTCATTGTATCAAAAAATTTTGCCAAACAAAAACTTGTTCCTTTTGTGTCTTCCTTCATGATACATTAATTATTGCAATAAATAACTATTCATCTGTTAATGGCAAATATCTGAGGCGTATATGTTTTTTTCTTTTGATTGCAGGACGGCCAAAATAAAACATATAAAGTCATAGTTTATTTCTATCTGAACAAATTATTTCTCTTGCCCCCCTGGATTTGTTCTGTGATAAACACTTAATATTATGATATGAATAAAAGTTTCGTGATATCCCCCGTCTCGCCTTTATCTTATATGGAGGATTTAATAGGTTAATTCAGTAACTGACCAATCTAAGCATAAAAAATAAACCTAAATATCGAAAACATCATTGGGGGGGGGTTCGGCATTAAGCCATGTGATCATAATATTCTAAACGCAACCCATGAAAAAGATGACTTCCTCTCCCGCAACAAACCATGACGAAAATGGAAGCTCCGTATATATATAAATATAAATGATATCTATATGAGTCTAAGGACGAAATAGATAGAGACAGAAAAATTCCATTATTCATTTCTCTGCAACCCACATGCGTTTTTCCCCTCTTTACCCGGAAAAAACTTTAACCTTCCTGTATATATGAAATAATCTTGATGCATATTCCTTTTCCCATTATGTATACATTATCAGATGAACCCGATTGATAGAGGAACATGGGTTTAATTTCTTAAACAGACCATACTCAAATCAAGGGGGAGAAAGAGACCACTAAATCGATGACTACAGAAGAAATATTATTATATTTGTAGATAATATTTGATTAGAAGTAACCCTGTCTTAATAGCACGAAGGCATTCCAATAATAGTCATGTTAAATACAACAGCAGCTCCACATCAAAATCCAGTCGGAAACATGATAAAGGAAAAGTCTAGTAGGATTCAGTACATGATACAACCCCCTTCACGGGAAGGACGTATATATGATTGTCTTCCAGTGATGCCAACAATCTTCCATGATTATTTCAGGGGCTACTATTGACGAATTCGAATTAGCTTATGTGCTCCTTTTATTTTGTTTTGTTTTTTTAAGATATTAGAGATATTATGTGGCTTATTAGGAATCAGTAGCTGTAATCTCATTAAAGAATGAAGGAATTATTTCTAATTCCTCCAGAAATGCATACATATGTAGATATACAGGCTAACTCACTTACTGTATTGATAGTTATTTTTTAGTAAAAGCTAAAATCAAAGAATTATAAAGGCGAATTCATTTTGATACGTAAAATCGGTTATCATCACTCCCTAAAGATTCATCACGACTCAGTAAGAAACCCACAACCGACCGCTAATCCTAAGGCCTACAGAAAGGGAACACATGATGAAATCTGTCAGAGCCAACACCACAGGCATTAGCCAGGATCAATTCAGTCGTCAGGATCACATTCAAGAAGTGAAGACGGACGAGTAGCCATTAAAACAAGAAAATTACGGATCAAAGCCAGCCAGCATATCTCGGCGATACTACAATTAAAAAACGCTCCCGAGAGTCCGTCTTGGATGAAAGCAAACAAGAGAGGACCTAGGACAGGCTAAATATGAACCAGAGCCATAACCACTAAGGGATAAGGTCTGACAGCTAAAAAATGAGGAATAAGAAGGGTTACATATACCAGCTACCCAAAAAAGTGAGTCAAATGAGGAAGCTAAACAAAACTACACCAAACAGGTTATAAAAGAACAAGTAGAAGAAAATTAAGGCCTTAAAGCAAGTAAAGAAACCGTAGGGGACCAAATCTAGAGGTAGAAAAGCCGAGTGAGCACCGAAGCCTTAAGCCGAAGAATTATGACAACAACTAATAGGAGGCCACAGCACAACAAAACATCCTCCAACACGAAACCTAGGAAGCAAAGTATGGACACTGAGGCTTACCACGTGTATACTAAATGGTGACGCGTGGATATTAAGGGAGGAAGAGTACATTCGCGACAGGAAGGACCCAATAGAAGAAAATGAGCGTAACAACTACAAAATAGATCCTAGGGCTGAACCATAGCAAGTAAATAATGGAGAGACAAATCTAAACTGCAAATCAGAAGCCTTAACCCATCACCAATAGAAGGAAAGCCAGGCGGCCTATGAAATCTCATCACCAACAACAACCCTGAAAGAATAAAGCCGGAGACCAGGTCCCTAAAGTCTAACTGCGAGAAGCTACAGCCTCCTCCGTGAACCCTAAACACTAAATGCAAAAAAGTCCTCCCTAAACAGTGGAGCCTTTAAAGAAATCACTAAGAAATAGGACCTAAGAAATAACGCCAAAACCAGGTCTAGCCCCCAAGCCGCAGATCCCTGATCAATACACACGAAGAAAAACAAACAGCAACCTAAAGCGGACAGATAAGAGATAAAAACTAACTCAGAAAACTGACGCAAAAACCCCCCTCCAGCACCCTCAATCGAACCTAACTCCCCAGTGAGCAACAGCAGATAAACCCCAAAGCTCCAGATCAGAAAAAATGACCAACAAAGAGCAAGAAATAATGAATAAAGGAACACAAAAACACCTTAACCAGCGGTCTATGAAACCTACATCCCTAAAAACAGCACTCTGATAACTGGAACCCCCCCCCCTGCATGTAGCCCCTACACCTAGATGCTTGAGCTCCCAAGGATAAAGATTAAACACAGAATCCCCCAAAAAACCCCGGCATTCCAGGTTGAGCTCCACCAGAATACACTTTAGTCAAGACAGAAAATAGAAAGAATCAATCCAGCAACCCACCTAAGTCCTAAGCGTAAAACGGGACAACCCCATCCTAAGAAACAAAAGGGACGCAAACAAGAACATCTGAGATGAACATTAAGAACTGAACCGTGACCCTAACGCCCAGCATCGTCACAAATACCACATGACCCGAAACCCAAGCAATATAGAAAGAGAGACAGTTCAACACCTCCTGGGCCGTGACCCCTAAGAAATAACCCCTGAGATGTGAATCTTAAAAAATGACTACAGAAACATAAAACATTGTTCCGTACCCAATAAAAAAAGAGCGAAACCGCAACAGCCGTAAAATCCAAACCCTAAACCCTGAAAACCTGAACCATGAAGTCAACACCCCAAATCCTGAATTCCGAAAACTAAAGGACCAACCCTAAACCCTGAAGACTAAACTTGAACCCTAAGCCGTAACACCTGAAAGCTGAGACCAAAGACTAAACCCAAAAACCTACATCTAGACCCTAAAGCCTAAAACATGATGAAGCCCCTAAAACCTGAAGAATAGTCCCTGACTCCTGGACCGTAACCCTAACCCGTAACCCCTAAACCATGGAAGGGGGAACTAATCCATAAGCCATAAGCCCCAAGCAATCAATCATAAGAAAAAACGCATAAGACCTACCCCCCTAACGCGTAAACCGTAAGAACTGAACCATCCTCCACTAAACAGTGACCACTGGACCTTGAAGATCAAAACCAGAGTCCCGCACGCCCGATGCCTCTGGACCTAAGCCGTAAAAGTGAGACTGAACAAGATATCTAGGAAGTGACAACTGGACCCTGAAACCGAAGACCGGAAGCTAAGACCTGAAAACTAAAAAATAATCACTAACCACTAAAACTGGACCCTAAACAGTAGCTCCTAAAACCGGATCCCTCAGTCCTAAAAACTAAAACCTGACACCAATCCCCTAAACACTGAACCTAAACAATGAAAACTAACCCTCGCACCTACCCCATGAAAACTGTCCCCTGACCACTGAAACCCTAAATCCTAAGAATGAATCCATAAACATAGACCCAGAATCCTGGAGATAAACCTGTACGCCTAAACCCTAAACCTAAAACTAAATCTAAACCCTGACGCCTAGACCCTAAACCCTAAACTTTGAAACCTTTCCCCTGACCCCTAAACCCCTGAACCCTAAACCCTGAACCTAAACCCTAAACCTTAAACTTCAACACTAACCCCTAAACCCCGACCCCTAACCACCGTTTCGCTCAGGCTCCCCCCTGAGACGCCACGTCCCATTACCTCCCCCCCCCGGGTCTCCGGAATTAGGTTGGGCCAGGAGTCGGGCCCTCTCTGGAGTTCCTTTGTCCTTGGGGCTTCTCACACCCCCTTCCATCCCCCTGCGGTCCTGTGTGGCCCCCAGAAGCCACGTGAGGTAGGACCCCTGCGATTCCCGCTCTGCTCTGGCTTGATGACTTCCCCTCTCCCCTAGGGGTTGGCCGCTCCCTGTGTTTCATACTGTTGATCGTTTTCAGATACTCGATCTGCCATTCCTCGCGTCTTGCCCGTTGGTGTTTCCTGATGGCTTGTGATACGACCTACACGATCTTTTTAGCTGGCCACGCATCGTCCCCTCCCCCTCGTTTTTGATTCATATCCACCTTCCTCGCAAAGTTGTTGTCTGACCTGAGCCGACGGCGTTTGAATGCTACCGTCTTAACCATCCCTTTCTTCACTTCCGTCCTGACTTCCACTCGTCATTTCGAGCTTCGGACATTATATTTTCCTATAGCTGACTTGTGCCGCTGGGAATTCCACAGGGACCTTACGTCTCCTCCTTGAGGGCTTCAAATAGATACGATACAAACCATACGCGCTTGCTATTAATGAGAGCCCCACGGCTACGGTACCCCCGATGGTTCCCCCCAGACTGCTGGTTTGCTCCAACTCCCCTTGGGTGTCCTGGAAGGGGGTGCTTGTTTCTGTCGGCTGCTGTTGCAACATGGTGTTTGTTTCACTTCGGACCCCTTCAGTGCCTAAAGCTTCCCCTATTTGCCCTTTGTCAGTCCCTAATTTCGCCTGTAATCCTACGGTTTGGCTGTTTTGCCTCCTTCTCGAACCGTTACTTTGACTAACCAACGATGGAGGTGTGGGGAGCCCCGTGGGGGCATCCTTGTCATTCTTCTGCAGGTTGTTGGCTTTATGGGCGGATGGATGACCTCCCGGTGCATCATAATCTCCTGACGGCCCTGTTTTGACTTGTTCTTCAATCGCAGCCTCGTTCTGAACCGACCCCGCACCGGTCCCTTGATTCAGGCTTGCTGCTTTTTGGATGTCCTTTTGCTGGGCCGATGTCTTCGACCCCCCCGTCTCCCCCTCCTGGACTTGCGGTTCCGAAGAGATTTGGCCTACCTTTACGTAGCCGTTGGCCCCTTCGGCTACGCTTCTCAAACAGAGACGTTGACTTGGGTCTTTAGTAGGACAGTATATTCCTTCTGGTGCCAGTTGAAACATCTGCTCGTTAAATATCTCATCTAATCCTGTCATTGGACACGAAGGACATATTTCCCTCATCTGGTTGGCCACTGCTAAAACAATACTCAGAACGTACATGCGACAATCCTCGAAGTTTGTGTTAGCCTGACACAGTTCCTGGGGGCCTAATGTTATCTTCTCCGATACCCATTTCCATCGTCTTGGTTGCTGAGAGACTTTAAGTAAGTTGAGCTTCAACTGTTCACACTTCTTATAGGCTCCGGAGTCGGTGTTTACTATTCTTATATCCCGCCCCCATAACCAGTACATTATACAACCAACTAAAAACAACATCCTCTGACATTCCGCTGAATCTTGACATCTTATGATTGCGTTTTGACTGACGAAACCTCTCCATAAATCCCAGTCGGCTTCGCCTAAATACTGATCCTCTTCTGTGTTCATGGATCTCCCTTTAGCTGAGTTTATACACCTAGACACTATACTATGCAATAAATCCTCCCATTCTAGTGGTCCTTCGTTATTTTCTGATTTGAACTTCTTCATGTCCACTCCATCCTTTAATTCCATATAATTTCTTACTAAGTCGCTCCACCTGTTTAACCAGCTACTGACCCCCCTCACCCCTCTTGTGCTCCTGTGGCTTTTGAAGCTAAGGTCATAACAATATCTAGTTGCTGCGTCGGGGGTGCACTGTTGTCCGCCTAATGGAACTTTGCTCTTCCATCCTTTCCATCCTATTAACTCGAGTTTGTTATTCGTCATTTGGACTCTGCTGAGTCACGAGTCTATGTCGTTGTTTTAGTTGGCTCAGTGATTTGAACTACTCGGGCTGCTTCTCCTTCGGCGTCCAAACCTGTTCCTTCTTCTGAGCCTTGAGCTCCTTCACCTTGGGTGGATTGTTCGGGTGCCTCCTAATGAATATTACTGGGGCTCTCACGAGGTACAGACTTATGCTCACCTGGGGTCTACTCGTTTAGTCCGGCTTAAAGGCGACCTATCTTTGATACTGTCCCCCCTCCTTTACGTAGCGCTCAACTGGCCCGTCTTTGGTGGTCCATCCGAGTTTTTGAACCGCCTGGTGCTGTTTGCTCATCCCTTGGGATTATTCCTACGCTCTTACTTATCTCTGTTCGGGCCGGGTCCCTTCCCCGACTCTCTACTCTCTCCGTCTGGATGTTCATGCTCGTCCTACCTCACTCCCTAATACCTCCTCCTTGCTTCGCCTTAGGAACTGCTCACTTGCCCCTTCGTTGCTATTCGGTCCCCCCGCCTTCTGTTCCTTCTCTCCAATGCTCCCCATTCCTCGGTGGTGATATCTTCCACTTGTCCTCCTCTCTCCCATAAAGACGTGTGGCTCGTTATCCGCCCATTTTCGCCCAGGTGCGTATCTACGAGATTACTCCTCCTGTTGTCACGATCTCTCTTCGTCGTCCAGTCGCTCTCAACTCTTTTCCCTACTGCCTCTTGTATCCATCTGTGGACTGACTCCCCCATGATTTGCTACTTGTCCCCACTCTTTCGGTGTGGGGGATCTCGCGCAGATATGACGTTAACTTCTGACTGTTTGGCAGTTCTCAGGATACCAACCCCCTCAGAAACTTTTGCGCTAGGGTGCCGGACCATGACGTGCTGACGTGCCGACTTCGGGGACTTCACTCCTGTAGTATCCGCCGCTTTCTTCCTACGCGGCCCATGAAGGGGGGATTCTTCATTAGCACCCGCTTATTGCCTGGTTCTGAGTGAGAACCGTGTTCCTTTTGAGCTGAACTACGACCCCTCCGTGTGGTGTTGACAGCAGCTTGTCACTCTGCTTTCTGTTATTTAATCAATGAGAACATTCACCGTAGCTCTCCGATTCCCTCTATTCAGTTCAGAGCCTCAGGCTTCTGCTCTTCTGTCTGAGGGTGCCCTTTCATATTGGTTTGACGGCGATAATTTTGACCTATACTGCCTGTTGTTGGATTGAGTCTTCCGCCTGCCTCTAAACTGCCTAGATGATCCTGCCGCTCCTTGCTCTTGAGGGCTCCCGTCATTCGATTGGTCTGGAACCTCCCCTAGGTTGTCCTTCTTGTGGGATCCCCGGGGGGGGAGCACTGGGATATTAATCATGCTGGCTCTTATACCTCATCATGCTTTGTAATCCCTCGGTTATTATCTTCTCCGTGTCGGCTCACTTCTTCTGCTCTGAGGGGACGGGTAGGTATGATGCTCTCACGGGTGGTTCGACGACTTAGTCTTTTCGATGTTATGTTTCTGACTCGATCCTAAACTCGTTACCCCTCACTCGCAATCCTCTGTCTCTCGTATTCTCCTTCTCCTCCTTTACTGACTTCTGGTTCTTTCATTGGTCCTCTGTAGTCGCTATCTGGAGCCCCTTCCTACTCCCCTGCTTGTTTCGGTTCTGAGCCCTGAGTCTTTTCCTCAACGGACCCAGGAAACTTCTACCTTTTCACGTCCTTCGATAGCTCCTACTTCCTTGGAGTGTCCCTGCTACTGTACTGATCTATATCTGCGATGCTTCCTATTAAGCGCCTCGCCGAAATCTGTTCATTTTTACGGGAGTGCTTGGGTCATGCCAACGCTCTGGAGGAGTCGCCTGGGAGGATTGACTCTTCCTCCTGTTGTCTAGAAAAGCTGCAGTTGCCCACGGCTGAAGGATTTTTGCAGATATTCTCAGGGGGGGGATTCCTGAAACTTGGCCTGTTCCTCAGCCCAGGGGCAGGTGCCTGGAACTCCGACTTTTGTTACTGGAAGGAACGAAATATTCTCTAGACTTTCCTGCTCTTTTCGCCTGAGTTTCTCCAAAAGTTTCGGCGTTCTGATGAGTCAGATCCTTCATATTCTGTCCCTCATCATAACTTAGCTTCCTTGTTGGAGTAGGGATATGTTGCCGTGTTGTCCTCTATGTCGCCTCTCTGGCCCCTTGAGGGTTTGTTTGTATATCAGGGGAAGTGGCTCCACTGAGACTCTCCGGGAGGATGATTATTGCTTCTGGCTCATTTGTCTGTGGGTAGTTCCTTTTCATTCCCTTGGAATCTGGCTCAGACATCTTGCTGGGAGGTTCATTGGCACTTCCTTCCCTCTGGCCGGAACTTGAGTTTCCCTTTGTTGTTAGATCCTCTGTTCCTTTGGTTCTTTTTATCTTGATTTTGCCTCCTGGCGAGGGAACCTCACTCTACCCCTGACTTGACTGTGTTGTCCTTTCTCGCTAGTGAGGTGGCGTTGGTGGATTTTAGAGACGCCCCTTCGCATCTATTATTCGTCCCCTAAATTGGGACTTGACCTGGCTTCCTGTTGCGTGGCTTGTTCAGCTGCTTAGATCTTTCGGGATTTTTACTGGTTTCAGTTTCGATATCCCTGGGCCCACTTGGGTCCCTATTTTGTGGTTTCAGGTAACAATATCCCCCTCATTTCGTCTATCTTCTTTTGACGTATCTCCTTTCTTCCTTGGGCGCCTTTTCCTTCGCCACTAACGCGCTCTGCTGAGCCTGGGAGGATTAACTTGATTTGGTTTCCCCTTTCATTTCCTCTGTAGGGCACCCTTTACCTTAGCTATTCCCCCGTCAGGGGTGGATTGTGCTTGTAGGGGGTACTTCCTTTGGTCTCACGTTATCGTGACCCCCCTTTCATTGATTGGGCTGGAGAGGGAGTTGTTTCTGTCTGTTTCCAAGCCTGCTTTGTTAGTTTCGGTTTCTTGTTATCTCTTAATATTCTTCCTTCTCCCCCTCCGAGCCCGTTGAAGTCGTCGAATATTTCAGAGGGGGCCCCGATGCGGTTTATCTCTTTCCCAGCTGATCTTTCCAAACTGGGAGATGTCTTCTGCTGTGATAGGTAGGGAGACATATTTGTTTGTTGGTACGTTGACTTGGGTGCTCCCTCCCTGGAACTCATACTTCCCTTGATTCCTGCTTGTTACTTTCTCTTAATTGTATCTTCTAGTTTTTTAGTGATTACGTACTCGGGTTCAGAATATGGGACCTATATTAATTGAGAAGATGGTTCTCCAGTTAGTGGCCCATCTGATACTTTTCCTGTTTTGTATTTTTTTATGGGGGCTTCCCCCAGTTTCCTTCTTGGGGGGTTGAGTTGTCGATTTTTTGGGTCGGAGTTGTCTTGTTTTTTCGTTTGATTGAGTTGGGACGTGATTAGATCGTTCTTGAGTGCTTAGGAAGCCTTCTAGTTTCATTTATCTTTGGGGCTTTTTTTCTTTTTGGCGAGAGATATTAAAAATCTATGAAGGACGACTGAGCTGTTGGAGATTGTACTCTTTCTTCTATCCTTAAGCCTCTATTGTGGTGAGGATTTATTACTCTGGTTATTTGGTACACGGGTTGTTGGAATTCTGTCACTTTTAGGGACTTATTGGGAGTATGGATCTTCTTCGGTTAATGTGTTTCTTGTGCTGCTGGCAGGGGCTTCACTGACGGGAGGCGCTGTGCATCCTGTTTATCTGTTGACTTATTATTACTCCTCTGTCATTTCATGATAGTATTGGGATTCGGCCTGTTGTGGCTGACAGTTAAAGTTCTGCTTCAGGAGTCTTGGACTTTTTGGGATCAGCCCTCACATCCTCTGGAGCTTCCGATTTTGGAGGGATCTGATTTGGTGGTAATGCCTGGGTTGTCGGTTCAGTTACAGGGAATCCGGCAGCAGGATGCCGCTGACATTTTCATCCCCTTAGTCTTGAACTCACTCGGGAATTTTGTGCATTGGATTGGACGCTCTTCTCTTTTATTCTTGGGTGTTGCCTTTGATTGGGTGCCTTGTTGAGGCGTTTGTGGTCACAGAGTTGGTAGAATCTGATTTGGCTTTGGGTGATTGGGCAGAGGAAGTTCTAGACGGCTTGTTGGAGTTCCACCTGGACTCTAGAATTTTCCAGTTGGTCTTTTCTTCGTAGTAGCATTAATCCTTAGCTGGTTGGTTTTGGTGTAGTTTCTTCGGGGATTTGGCTCGTTGTTAGGGGTGGTCGGGAACTTGAATTTTGGGTTCTTATAATTAACTGAAATGTTAGCTGGGTAGACGACAAAATAACTCGGAGAATATTGTTCTCTGCTCGGACTTTTACTAGTATGATCTTTAATTCTGCTGAGGCCATTTGTTGTACTGAATTTACCCGAAATGAGAAGTTGTGTTTCTCTTGACGGAAATTTGCATGGCGATTTTGGGACGTATTGGACCAGATAAAAAAAAATGATTATTTTAATTCAGGCTTATTTTTCTGAAAGACATAATTCCTGGACTTACTTGATTTTCTCGGATATTCTAACTTTCAGTGATAACTTTTCTGTGAAGTCTTCCAGTCAATTTTCCTTTTTGTCGGTTCCATTCAGTGTTTTTGCTATTAGGCGTTCTTGTGATGTGACGGTTATTAGATTTTGATTGGATATTAAGATTAGGTCCTTATTTGGCAGTCATGGTTACTCGTCTTTTGTCATTTAGAATGACTCACATAGACAGAAAATAATTCCTCCGGAGCATAGAGATATTAAGCCGGCTCTGGGGTGAGGAAGTGGCGTATATGTGAGATTTGGTCAGATTATTTTTAGAGTTCATGAGTGTTCCTCTCCTGTTGTTAGTGTCCATAGACTGAGAAAGGGATTTGTCTACTCCCCTATTCCTGACGGAGAGATGGTTTAATGATTGCTCCGACTTTGGGTCCAAAAGAGAGACTTTGGCATGATTAAAATTATTAAACCAACTTTTTGTCTCTCATATTCATCTTCAGTTTGGGATTCAGAAATATTATATATAGGGGTATTTTTACGATTTGCTCCAGAGAGCCTGTTTGTTGTTCTTTGGTGTTAGTTACTCCAGTCTAAGGCTGTTTCGAGTTGTCCCTTCTTCTTTGATTTGCTGAGGAAGCTGGGGTTCTGCTGTATTTCGATTATCCAGTCTGGAGATTTTTAACGTAATTTTTTTTGTCAATATGTTCCCTTTCTGCTTTAGTGTAGTCAATCATCCTAGTCAACTTAAAGGCGAAAATCCTGCTCCGGATGCGGTGTTAGTGATCCGGTAATCTTTACTTGTGGTTTTAGAAATGTGTGTCGAGCCTGGAAAAATAATTTTGTTAGCTAAATATACAATAGGACGGGAGATTTGTAAGCTCTTCTCGTTTTCTGGTTAAAGAGAACTAAAGATACGTTTCAGACATTGTCCATTAATGGATAAAGACTTATTCATTGCATTACTTAAGTTTTCTTTAAAGAAAACATAAAAGGAACAACATTGTTGCCCTGAAAATCTCTCAATACATTGATTTTCTAAAGAAGGATTTGTTTTAAGTAATTATAGAGGGAGAATGAGTCCTGAAAACTTGAATTGTATAGTGGCATACTGTGTTGGTGATTTCCTGTTATTGGATTTTTGAATAGTTAGAAACAATGATCCGGAAGCTTTTTCCTTCCTGAGGGTATCCTCTGCCCTTCCTGTTTTTTTGTTTGAGAGAGGACATGGCTTTAATATTAAACACGGGTTGATCATCCTATGGTCAAGTTTTTGTTATAAGGGGGTGCATAAATTACAGACTTTATGGGACTCTATGAATTCCACATAAATCACCATCATTAGATTTAGAATTTCTGGAATTTAGTTTTCTATCTGACCCTCCTTTCTTTAGATATTCAACTGGAGTCATCCGGAGGCAAATTCCTCGTCAGTTTTCTTGTTCGATGGTGTGTTCCTTGGGGTGGCAGCAGGTTGGACAAGATTGTTAAAACATTGTTGTTTGACAGGTCCTTTAGACATCACCTATAATGAGGTTATTGATTTGTTATACCCAGAGACTCCTTTTTTCAAATAAACATCGATAAATAAGGTAGACCTGATCCAGAGTAAGAACAAAATAAGTAAGTTTGAGAGGCTCGGGATTACTCCTTTAAGAGATTTTTAGCTCATATATCTTCCTAGTAGAAACATATAAGAAGCGACAACGAGAATTTTAACTAAGCAGGAGCGAAAAAGGAATCTCCTTTATTTAAGGCCAGGGGAGGTTGCTGCTTGGCGTTCATGGGTTCGAGTATGTTTTCTGGTTTTTTTGTCATATTTACTTGAGCATCCATCATCTAGAGCAGAAGGGGATTCAGTGAGAAAACCCATAGTATCTTATTGTAACTCCCTGGGGAGACATAACTATACATACAAGAGGGTTCCTATCTGCTCGAGGATGGTTTTAAATATATAATTGAGGTGGGATTCGTTATTTTATTATGAACTTCCTTAAAATACGTTGAAGCCCTTTAATTCACTTCCAAAT